AAACTTTATAATCAAGTGCCTGATGACGGCTCACCTGGTTTCACTTTGTCTTTTTTGCATACAATCAGAGGCATGGCGCTTAGAGCAGGGCTGCTCCACAAAATTAGCCTTGGTTTTCAATTCCAAACATTGTATAGCTCATGGGTGGCTCGTGCAGACGATATGAACTGGCCAGCTCTTTACCATCACTGTTGGCCGATAGCTCGCCAACTACAGTTAATGTGGTGATTGCGCAAGATCACCATTGTTGACATTCGGATGCGTTGGGGCAAGTTTGGAACTCCTATTTAGTGGAGATAAGTGCCCGGTCTTTATAATTACTTTTTCTCTTTTTTTTCTTAGCTTTTTGATAGATCTATTTCGAGTCTTAACACAGACCATAGTGCCGGGATATAATTAATATTGGTAACTATTGTATATAAAAAAACAGAATATGTGGTGGCTGATTTAAAGCGATGGTTTTTATCTCTGGGACTTCTAAGAGCAATGTGCAAAGGCGTGACATGGTCCCCACCGTGACTCCAGTAACCAACAATTACCTGGCATAGCATGGTGTACTCGGGTTATTTTTATTTTTTTTTATTTCAGAAAAATGATGATTCAGTCGTTATAACTGATGAAGTCCTAGCGTTCAAAGTTCTGTACGGGCACAAGCTGAGAGTATTAGTATTAAGCAGGTCCTAGTGTCTCAACTTGGTAATAAGGAACATGTTAAAAATATTTGCCATGCAGTCTATCCATTATTAGGCAGCAAAATACATAAACTAAGAATAAAACAAAAAAGAAATTGTTGGTTTAGCGCAAACAATATGTGCTGCTGCCAGGAGTCGATCCTGGGACGCCACGGCCACAACGTGGAGTTTTACCGCTATACTACAGCAGCTTTGTATCTTGGACTAACTAGCCAACTTTTTCATATCCGCTAGAATATAGCAGTATTTTTAAGCATAATAGAAAAGCTATAGTGACATTTAATGCTTCTGGGACTTTTCGGAGTTGGTGGTTTAGTCCAATGCTTGGGGCTGAGGAGGGAGAGCTGCCAACTCTCATGGTGTACTATGAGGGTCATGCACGTCTCTGAAAATATCCAAAAAACTAATGACCATCCCAAATGTATCTAATATACCACAGG